GTGGTGGTGGAGGGGAGTCCCCATTACCTGTAAAGCGCTTTGAGTGGAGTGTCCAGAAAAGCGCTATATAAGTGTAAGCTATTATTATTATTATTATTATGTTTTCTCCATGAACAGATATGGAAAACATCAATATACATGCAACAAAGTACTTTCATCACGTATTTTCTTATATCTCAGGGACATTGAAAGTTTAACAGTTAAAATTATAACTGAAAGACCATTAGATGCCTTATATCTTTGACAGATGTTTTGTTTTCTGTTTCACACATTTAGACATGAATAATTTCTGTAGTTAACTGATTTAAGGGTCATTGCTTGCACATCCTTTACAAGTTTTTCGATCAATAATTGTCAAGTTAATATACAGTATACCATTTGAGGCATCTGAGCATATGAAGCATAACCGAACATTTTTGCGAATGATGTTTTCCATTGTGTGGTCTTGTCATTGTGATGTGCACAAATGAGTTAAGATTGTATGGGTAGAAATACAGAAACAATCTATTAAATGTTTTTTCTAAGGTGGCTAAACATTAGATTTTAATCTTTTAAGACAAACTTCTTTTGTCTTGTACATCTTTTCAGCATATTGCCATTAACCCTAAAGTTCATTGGTAATGGATGATCATTTACTATGGGAAAAAAAACTTAATATTGATATTAATTAAAATAATACAGAATATTTCAGAATAGCACAAAGCAAACTTGGTTGCATAATTCAGTCGAAGGAAAACAAAGTGGTTTCATTTTAAACAAAAGAAATCTCAATATTTATTAAATGAATCCCTCACAGCTTAATGCTATAACAAATGTGGAAGCTTTAAAGTATACTACAAATACTACAGTATACTACAGGTCAATAGTTTACAACAGAAAAAAGGCTTTGAAGGAATGAGGCTTCTTGAGAGAAGTATGGAATTAGTGGCAAATGAATGTTAACAGTTTAAAGAGATTCTACTTAAAGCATAAAACAGATTTAATGTATTCACAAAAATCTCAATTAACTGTACTGTATTTGTGAGTTCTAGGAACCATGACCCCATCAGTTTACTTACATTCAAGGCTGATTTAATTTTTTGTCAGACATGTAAAATTAGTTGCAGATATATTTAAATGTATTGTGTGTGAATGCATCTGTGTATTATTAAGGATTTTATAACAGAAAGGATTGTTTTTCTAGGATTTTTGGAATGACAGAATGCTCAGTATCTCAGATCTAACAGATTTAAATGGTTCCTGATGGCCTTTGCAAATATACTTTAAATTAATATTTTGTGAATAGTCTTCAAATTAATATTTTATTGTGTTCTTGTGACTCCAAAAGAAAGTTAGTTTTACAAACACTATATCACAAAAAAGAATTCTGTTATACAAATTACTGGCAGCCAGGGCAATTTACAGAGCCAGGAATGTGCTGATGCAGAGTACTTTCTCATTAGCACAGCAGCTTTGTTTCAATAAAATTATTTTTGCATCAGGCAAATAGTGTAGAAAGTGAGCCCTGGTGTCTGATTTAGTCAGAAAATAAGTCATACTGTAGCATTGAAACCCTAGTACATGGGAGGTGAAAAATTGAAGAGCTTATTACAGAAAAATGCATTCTTCAGTGAAATGCATGTTAATGAATTGACCATAGTCCAGAGAGCCCATAGAGTGAGTGAGGCCTGCAGTGGACAGTGTCACCCCATTTCATGTCTCTCTTGTTCTTGTGTTTAGGATGAAGACATGCTGGCAGGGAATGAAAAGGCTTGGAAGTCTATCAAAGATGCCACCCCGGGAATGGAGAAACTTCAATCTCAGCACCGTATCCTCTGCATGCAAATTGAAACAGCACACCACATGGAAAAATTAAATTAATAATATTATTAATAAATTAATAATACAAATTGTAGGAAGTGTAGGTATTGTATATACTGTAAAGTAAGGCATAATTTTCTCAGGTAAAGTAATTATTTAAAGGGGAAGTAACATTTGGTTTATTTGGTTTATGGTCCTCTTACAATATTCATACTTTTCATACAATATTCACACAATGCAGTGCATTATCTACATTACAATTGTAATTGCTACAGGTACCAATCTTTTATTTAATCATTTAGTTACTGATTCTAATATATAATCCTTTAAACACATTAGCCCTAGTTAAAGGCAGCCATGCGATATTAAACAAAGACAGAGGATGCAGGATTCACACGAAGGATTCAATATTTCACATGCATGTGAAATATTGGCAAATATTGATTTATGAAAGCAGTATAGTTTTTAGCCCAAAGTGTTTCTATTTGGGATTGTAGTGTGCTCATGGATGCATTTTGTCAGGATAAGCACCTTTCCTTCTTAATCTAGTGGAAGGAATGTTTTGTGGCCCGGGAGGCTATACAGAGAGGACAGATTCTTGAGACTGTCTGTGTGTCATTCTGGCGATGTTTTGGAGCCTATACTTATCATACAATGACATAAGAGTATCTGAACTGTAGGGTGTTATAGGATCTCTTGAAATTTAATTTTTGTTTCACAACAGACTATCCCTTTTGTGCAACCCATCGGGTGTGCCACAATGGGATCTTTAATATAGACAGGCTCCGGAACTCAGACATGCAAGTGCTGCTGTAAGGTACACAAATAGTTCAATTTACAGTGCAAAAATCAAAACAGTCACCAAAAACAGAGGAGATCAAAACAAGCTCCAAAGCTAACTACTAAGTCCCTAATGAATGTAAGCTCCAGTCTCTCTGTGAGACTCTTCACAAACACTTAAAAAAACTCACAGTTTCTTGGTCGGTTGCTTCTTCTTCTCCCTCCAGCGAGGCAGCAAACAGAGGATCTACAACTGTCTCTCAGGTAGACAATGAAAACCTACAATTGAAAGCCTGAGCTTTCTGCTTTTTACACCTGACCACCTGACCAAATGTCTTCCAGTAACTGATCAGGTAACTGAGGGCAGCAGCTCATACCCATAGCATTCTGGGAAATGTGGTCTAGAAGGCTTGTAATTTGAATGGATCTGCCTACCTCTAACACATTAAAGTACATTAAACAAATCTAATTATTTTACAGATGTATCAGTAAAGTTCTCTAATTGTATTTGTAATTTTTTAATTATGTTATTTTTATACTGCACTTGTCTGATGACCCAAATTCAAAATTTGTTGCGAAGAAACTACTTTTAAAACCCATTTGTTATGAAATAGAAAATAAAAACTTAGCACTAAGTTTCTTACATTTTTTTAATAAATATGGTCAAAGGATTTAATGGAGTCAATATATCAGTATATATCACATTGGAAAAATTAACTCTTTTATAACTTCAGCATAATGTCTGATAAGGTTTAGGGAAGCAGACCTCAAGTAAGTCAAAGGAGGAAAAAAACAAAACATTTTTATATAAACATATAGGTAAAATGCTTTTTGTTTTGTAACTTTTGAAAAGTAATGTTACTTTCTTCAGTGATTTCTTTTATGACTCGGAATGTATGGATAGAGATTGAGGTTGAGTTTTAACTTGCAGTAAGATTGGTTTTGAACCTACAACATACCAAACTCTGTTTACTTTCATGTAATTGCAGTAAATGTTTAGACAGTCATTAAGAACTTAAATCAACCATAGAGATGTCAACCACAAAACCCATTAACCATGTTAATCTGTGTAGTCAAAACCTTCATTATGTCAGCTATTTTCTTTATTGACCTTTTGTGTAGTTTTTGTACTGCTTTTGGAACATGCAACAGTTTTATTAATTGAAACCCACTGCAAAACCTTCCAGTTTTTATTTTAGTTATTTTACTTGAATTCTGTCTCTAGTCATACTGCACACAGCAGCAAATAATGTTTGTTCATTCATTTTTTTTTTTAAATAGAGCTCCGGCTTTGAGATTGAGGTGTTTTAGAGGAGGCAGCTGCCTCCTGAAATCCCTCCAGGTCCTGGCCAATAGCAAATGTGGTAAGGACCTGAGGAGGAGGTTTCTACTACAAGTGCACCATTAAAAGAGACATACAGTATGATGTTTACTATCACACTCACCAACAGCAGTACTCTTTTATCACTATTAATCTGCACAGGAGTACAACATCCTGAGTGAGATACAGTCCTTCTAGAAGGATGTTAGTACAGTATACAGTATAGACGCAGGGCTGCCAGGGCTGCCAGGACCCTCCTGCAGAGCAGCACTCATCAGCTGAAACTATTTCATATATTCATATATGTTTTTATTCCAGCTTAGGCCTTAATGACTTAATTGAACTAATTAACTGGCAACCAAAGACTAGCTGGTAAGTTAATTGGCTTCTGGGAAAATTAGTTATGGCTTGAGTGTATGCACATGTTGATATCTTTGCCTGCCCTGCGATAGACTGGTATCCCCATCCAGGGTGTATCCTGCCTTTCGCCTGTATCTTGCTGGGTTATGATCTGACTCGGCCAAGCCCCTGTACTGGATAGTGTGTTTTAGAAGATTGATGGGAAGATGGTTTGCAAGTACTCAAGATTAAGTTATCAACTTACTGTCCAACTTATCTTTAAATAGTAATACCCAAAACTATTTTATCAGGTTGCTGGCAAGCTTCCAATATGTCGCAAAAGTTGTATTAGTTTATACCAGACAGAGAGAGACGTACATTAAGAAAGCAGTAGTGTACCTAGTTCTTATGCTAATCAACTGTTCCTTCAAGGTAGCAGTGTTTGCGTGACTAGATGACTGGAAAGGCACTTATTTTTGAGGGCATACATGGCTCTCTGTTCTCTCCTGCCTCTCAACAGATTACAGTAATCCAGTGCACAATCACATATACATTAATCATGCCACATTTGACATACAGCCTGTGTGATTTATCCTGTGTAGAAGTCAAAGTATGCATCAGTAAGTAACACCAAATCAGCATTTAACTGGTCTCTGTTAGTATCACAGATTAATATGTTTTGGAGATAAACTTCTTAAAGTGATTCCTACAACTGAATGAGCTTATAGAAAGGCACTTAGTTATTTTTCATGCCTACAAGCAGTACTGGCTTGTAAAAATATTGTGACTTTTTTCCTCCTCTTTTCAAGTGAGACCTTAACTATCCTTAATAATAGAGTGGGAACAGGTTTTGTCTCTGTGCCAGACTCTTGTGGATAACAATCAAGGCATTCTTCCAGACACCAACATCTATCTGCTTAAAATGCTTGACTACACTATGGATGCGTGCATCAATCTCAGAAAGTGGGACAAAGCTCTGTTCTTTGGCACCCGAACTTTACAACCATATAGGTGAGTTTTCAAGCCTTTGAATGAGTTGGTTTACATACTGTTAGTCGTTGTTATTCTGACATATACAGTATACAAACATTTCATGTGTCAAAAGAGATGCATTCCTCAAAGGTTGTGCATTCTAAATGAAAATTGGAATGGCTGTGTTAGGGATGGAGGTAAGATTTGGCAATATACTGTATGCATGGCTTCATCTACCTACTGAAATATACAGTAATCTTACAACTGCATTCATGCAAAAACATGAATTGAGCATTGATAAAACAAAGAGTAAGTATACTTGTCTTATTATCGTTTAAAACAGCGAAACATTTGTTTCCAGGAAGTGATAATATGTATTCACAAGCTTTGACATTTCTTGGAAACAAATTGTAAAATGTGTTAGCAAGACCCTAAAATTTATAAAATCTTTTATTATCATATTACGAAAATGATATTGATTCTCTTAAATCATTCTACAGATAATTGACTGGATACTGTACATCTGTGATCTTAAAAGAATATGCTATTTGGAAAGAACTGAAACATTTCAGTATTGAACAGCCAAGACTATGAATGGAAGTTATTAATGTAGTCAACCCAGCAGACTTCTTCAGAATAAGCAGTCATATACAAACCTGAGGACACAAATGGAAATTTAATAAACATGCATTTAAAATTCAAAACAGAAGGCAAGGCTTCAAACAAAGGGTTGTGGGCATGTGAAACAAAATGCCCATTTGTGATTTGAAGCTTACAGCCTGGGTTCATTCGAGAAGTGACTGGATGAGATCTTTGAATCACTGAGCTACTAACAATCAAATAAGTTAAATAGATCAATATCTTCCTATCATTTGGATCCTTGCTTATATTTCTGTATTCTTTAATTATTTGTTAATCTTGTATGTTACATGGAACGTTTTACTAAAGCTATACAAGAAGAAGACAAGGTCTCACATGTTAAAACTAATAGTTCTTATGATTTTTAACCGAGATAACTTGTTCAATGGTGCCCTGTTCAAGTTGAGATGTATGTCATTTACTGTATGTACTTCATAATATACTGTTACAAAGATTTCTGAAGAATAAAGTCAGTTAAAGAAACATAAGACAGGACATAAGACAAGCTCTGGAGATATCTAATTCCTCAAAATGTTACTGTGAGGTCTGCCACTAACAGTGACTTGCAGAAGCATTCAGACCCTTTCTACAGTGTCCCATTTTGTGAAAATGTTGCATATACATTTTTTATATTTATATATTATTATATTTTATTCAAAACCTGAATTTTTAACAGTAGAAGTCTAAGGTTATGATAAATCATGATAATGTCAGCCAAAACTAAGGAGAAAATCTGAAATATGTTGATTGCACTGGGCCTTGCTGCACTGGGATTCCTACTGTAGGTTCAATTCCTGACCTGGGGTGCTGTCTGCATAGAGTTTGTACATCCACATGAGTTTTTGTCAGATGCTCCAATTTTATACTGTACCACATTCCAAAGACCTACTAGTAGGTTAATTGGGTTCTGGGAAGACTGACCTTGGTGTGAGTGTGTGTGTCTGTGTGTGCAGTGAACTGGTGTCCCATCCAGGGAGTATCCCACATTTCTCCCTTCGCTTGCCAGGATAGGTTCTACTCTATCTCTCTCAAGTCACTCGGGGGATCACTTGTAAATCCTTCCACAGATTCTCAATTGGATTCAAGTTGGATGGACCATTCAAAGAGTTTCACTTTCGTTTTCTTCTGTGGAGTAGGTTGTGTATACTGTATAACAAATAGTAATTGCTACTTCAAAGTGTCATGATTGCAAGCTTTAAAGCAACAAAATATGTAGAGTGTGCAAGGGTTTGAATTGTGCAAGGCACTGTAAGCCTGCAATTCAAATGGAAATCTTGGACACTCCTGGTAAAGTGCTAATCCATAGCAAAGCTTTCAAATTGATTGCAGACTACAGTTAAGATTTTACGATTTTCTAAGAAATTCAATAAGAATTCAATAAGACAATCTTTAATTCTATTTTTTTAAAGGAATGTGCAGATTCAAAACTTGGCAATGATATATACAGCCTTCATATACAGTACTTTATACATTTCATATACTTTTACTGTATCTGAAAGATGCGGCCACATTGACATGCAGCCTCTGTTTTGCTTAGAATCTCTTCAAGATTGCAAAGGTACCACTTTTCATGAAAGAAAATCTCTCTTCAGTTTCTGGAGAGCACACCATAACCCAGTGAAGTTACTTTACTGATTATGGTATTGCTCAGTCAGTCTAAGAGATGCTATTTAACATTACAGCATGTTCTGTCCTGGATATTGTATTTATTGTCCATCGCATTTCTATGCCCAGCTTGGATTAAATAGTATTTCTGCATATTTAAGTGGGATAACTCCAGGATCCCACATTCAAGATGAGATAACTCTTCACATTCTTATAATGGGATCAGGCTCCCACTTGTGTTCCAATTCAATGGACCTGATTGTGTGGGAAGTCATTCTATGAGATGGTGATTTAGATCAGTCATCATGCTGTTTGAAACACATTCAGTTGCCCCTCCATTATCTAAAGTCTGATTAGGAGCCTGCCTGGTTTTATAAATCTATTTTATGTTGCCTAAGGAAAACATCTTGTGTTTCATCTTGTGTGGCTAAAACATAAGCACTTGATGTTATTTATTTTGTTCTGGTGCAGAATTTAAAATTGCAGAAATGCTTTTACAAAGTGTTCGCAACCACTTTGTAGCTGAACAACTTTGCTCTTCTGAATGATGTTCTTGTGTTTTCGGATACCTTTACATTAATAACAGCTTCACTGTTAAATAGTATTTCATATAGAAAAGTTAAAAAAATATATTTGTTAATATCCTTATTTCTGTGACTCTCCTGAGAGAAGTTATGTGGAACATTCAACAAAGTAACAGTGCAGTATTGTGTTAAAACAATCTTTCTGTGTTAGTACCTGTAAGAGGAGGAGGACAGTTCTCTCCTCCCATATGTCAGGTTTTCTGATTTGTAAAGGTCTTCCTCTGAGCTTTGATCAGCATGGAAAAATTGTTTCTGGAAACAAGTCATTTGTTCATTTTTTATGCTTACCAAGACTCAGAGTTTCATTAAGGAACAACATGGCACTAGAATAAAACATGTTCAGTCTTTTGACAAGATGGCATTTGAAATGAGGAAAAATGTAGTACTGTACAACAAGAAGTCCACTTAATAAATAGAGCTAACTAGCAAAGGCAGTTAACTACTGTACCTAGTAGGTATTGTAGCTTCTTACTGCCAACTGGGTTAGATGGGTTAAATGCCCTCTTCTCATTTGGAACCTTCCTTATGTCCTAGATAATGTTGTAATGTAAAGATTATGTTCCAGACAACATACAGTAAGACATGGATTGTGGGATCGATTAGAGGAATTAGTAACAGTATGCTTAAAAACTAACAAGTAAAAAATAGGATAACATTTTATTTTTTGGAATTTAGAATTTCTAGCCTCTTCATTCTAGTTTTCCACAAGCATGATGTTTGTGTCTAGGTTATCTGGTGCAGGAAAAAACACACTGAGACTTTCTTTTATCCAGATGTGTTCAATTGATTGCACATTATGTATATGAACAGTATATGTATGTTGTATGCATTATGATGTATGTCATATACTTTATGTATGATATACAATATATTATTCTGAATGATCACAATTTTCTTCCAAGTACTTTGATTAAAACAAAAAGTTTTACAAATCTGAAGTTGGTAAAATGAAATGGCCTTTTTTGGACAATAGTAACTCCAAGATAAGAATATGGCCTGTTGAAAAAAACATGTGGGATGTCACTTTCAGCATTTAGTGGCAGATGGCATGAACAAATTGCAAACAGCTACCTTTGCATGCTGGAAAGGAATCTTACCTAAACTGATTTTTACATGTGTTTGCTAGATCAGATTTGTTTGGGGAGCATATATGAACCATACCAGATGGTATAATCAAATACATAGTGTGTGCAAATTTGTTACAGATGAGTCAAAACTACAGATGCTGAAAGACTTCTCATGCACTCATTAAATTTGTCAGTGTAGAAAAGTCATTTTGAAAGGTTGCTCTGCCTCAGAGGAGGAATGAAATATTTAATTAGTTATAGACATAGACCAAAATACTCCTACAGTACATACTGGACAATAATTCACTTTGGCCCTCTGTAGATTTCTGAGAGATCAAAAAGTTAAATGATTTTCTCTTCTCACTCAGATTTTTGTTGAACAAATCATTGATGTTTCATGATTTGTTAGATAACAACAGACTGTAATGTTTATGTGTTTTATTTGTTCTTGCTCTAGGTGACATTTTTCTAATTCTGAGCAGTTTGGACTTTTGAATTTTGTATTTTCTTATTGTTTGTTTTTGCTTCACACGATTATCTGAATTTGTCTAAAGATATTTTGCAACTCAATTGCAGATGTATTCAGCACAATTAAGGTTAAGAACATAGGGTAAGGATAAAGAAGGTTTGCAAACAAAAGGAGCTCAGGGTCTATCTGGCTCATTTAGTGTTTAGGAGCAAATGGATTTGAGATTTTCATCCAATTTGAAATGATATCACTTTCAACAATATTGTTGGGTACTGTGTTACAGACTCCCCACAACTTCTTTGTGTAAGGGCATGCCTCCTGTTTATCAATTGTAACTGCAGTGACCTATTGATTTATATTTTCAAACACAATCTGTGTGTACTGTACGTGAAGGCATTTTTACTATTGTCCTTCCATCTATTTTCTAACCACTTTATTTAATTAATTCACTGGATTAACAGATAGAGTTTTGCATTTGATGTTTGAGCAGGATTTTGGGACTGGTGTGGTTTTCCACTGGATCGGAGCAGGCATCTCTGACAAACCAAATGACCAAACCCCTCCCTGAACTTCATTCATGAGGGCATCACTACAGCAACAGGTTGTACACTAAGGATGTCAAATTCAATTCCTGGAGGGTCAGAGCCTTCTGGATTCTGTTCCAATATGAGTTGT